GGCAAGCGAATCCCTGTAAAAAAACTATAGAACCCCTAAAAAAACTCGATAGAACCCCGGCCCCCTAAAGACACCCTTATAGAACCCCTGAAAATACCCCTTACGAGCGCCCTAAACCCTAAACCCTAAACCCTACACCCTAAACCCTTATAGAACCCCGAAAAAATACCCCTTACGAGCGCTCCTTCAAGTCTCTGGCGTCGGCGGCGCTTTGCGAGGCCACGTCGAGCAGAAAGGTCTTGGCATTCTTGTGCTCCTGAAGGAAGCGGGTTTAGCGTTGAGGGGTTTAGGGTTTAGGGGCTTTAGGGGTTTAGGGTTTAGGGTTTAGGGTTTTAGGATTTAGGGTTTAGGGTTTAGGGTTAATGATACATACCCAAGTCACCCGCTCCAGTAGAGCCAGAGGCTTTTTGTGATCAAGGTTTCTTTCGTGTGGCCATCACGCCTTTTGGACAGGTTCAGGAAGAAGAAAACCCTAAAGCCTCAACCTTAAACCCTATGATTCCAAAGGCTTGTTATTGAACTCTTCCGCCCTCGTCCTCAAGCGTTGAACCCCGGCTTCCCTTTTGCTTAAGGCCGCCCTTTATAGGATTGAGGGTTGAGGGCTCCCCTTTTGCTTAAGACCTTCCTGTACAGGCTTTAGGTTCGGACAACCCCTACACCTCACTGTGCCAAATCTGGGAATTGCCAGACCGGAAACCTTACTAGCCCTCAACTCGTAAGCCTAAACCCCAAACCTGGCAAAAACCTATCTCTACCAAATCAAGGCTTGGGTGATTCTCTAAGCCTCTTGTCGAATCCTACCCGAAAACCTGCGCAAATTTCGCCCCAACCCCGCACCCTAAACCCCAAACAACCTAAACTCGATACCCTGAATTCTGTACCCTCAACCCTAAACCCTACTGTTGATGGACAAAATTCTGCATGACCCAAATATAGTATAGTACCATAAATCCCATAGTTTGGGTATATATTATAGGGTCATGCAGGATTTTGTCTATCAGCCGTATGTTACGATCGTCTCGAGAGCGCCTTTTGGATGTCTTCCCAGAACAGCTCCTTGGGGTCAGCAGGTTCGGGTGCCTAGGGTTCGCCTAAGGGTCCTTTGCGAGGGCTGACGCTCAGGCCTCCGGGTGTGTCTAATGTAGGGTTTAGGGCTTAGGGTTTAGGGTTTAGGGTTTTGGAGGTTCCTTATTGCAATAATAGCATAATGTACCCCAAACCCTATTCTAATTATTAAGGCCCTATATTAGGGGTAGCGGTTATGGACGGTTTCGGCGCGTTGCCCTCAACACCCTGGATCCTGCTCCCTACAGTACTGCTTGCTCGTGCATAGGCTACGCGGTATGGGTATACGGTTTACTGGAAGGGCCTTAATCAAAGAATCAAGAACAGGGTTTGGTGTATGTTACAGTATAGCCATATGGGGACTTTGAAGATTACCACTGATTCTTGAAACCTCTCTATGTCATAAAAGACTATCTTACCAATCCCGGGGGCTTGCTTTAGCAAGGCAACAAGGAGCTTCGCTGCAAGATCCCACCTTTTGGCACCGTGTGCCCACTGGGCCCGAGAAATTTCATGATGCACGACCCCAGTTCCTCAATACCAAACCCGTCCGCTGCAAAGCCTCAGAAGTTTGGAATGTGGGCTTCTAACATCCCCTGACTGCTTGGAAGAAGCTGTGTTTCCCATGAACGCCAGCTTCTTGGCGGCATTCCTTAGTAGTCATCGCGGCTCAGATGTCCTAATCCTCGCGAGCCTTGCAGTCTACACCCAAGAAGCCCAAACACTTCAAGCACTGACTGCACTGACTTCTGAGCTAAGAGCTGAAGCTTTATCAAGTTCAACTAGCAGACCAGTAGAAGGAGCCACAGAAAAGGGCTCTCACCACAAAAACCCGCGAGGAACACTCCTCGCAAGAAACCCCTGACCTGAGCGGCGCCCCACATGACTGGCTCGCCAAATGATGGCCTCCGTAACCCAGACCCCAACTCTAAACCCTAAACCCCTAAACCCTAAACCTACACCCTAAACCCTAAACCCTAAACCCCTAAACCCTAAACCCTAAACCCCTAAACCCTAAACGCCAAACCCGAACCCATGCCCTAACCTCGGCCCTAAGCTTTGAAGCCCATCATCAAGCCATGGAACCCAAAGTCCAAACTTCTCAGCCCTAAACCCGCAGACCTCAGGCTCTTTTCTAAACCCTAAACCCTAAACCCTAAACCCGAAACCCTAAACCCGAAACCCTAAACCCCTAAACCCCTAAACCCTACACCCCAAACCCCTAAACTCTAAACCCTAAGCCCTA